GTGTGCCCGGTGAGAACCAATGGCCTGCGTCCTCCAAGCACTAGCCCCATGCCTGATGTACTTGCTCGATAACACAAAAGCCTCTTAGTGTCCGACCAGTGCTAGGGTCGGTGTTTGCCTGTCGCTACAAAGCGAGCCATGATACAAAGAGGGTATGCGAGATCTGGACGAGTGCAAGTCATCAGGTACATGAGGCAGCCCACAAGCTCTGCGTACTGACCACTGGGCTCAATTGGCTTGTCAGGGACTGGAGCTGAGAGCCTCTGATCTACTGGCAGGGGTGTAGGCTGTGCGGAGGAGAACTGAAGGCCAAACCTTTGAAGGACCTGGCGCACCAAGTGTGACCGTGCGAGAGTAATGGTGTGCGCTCTCTGTCCCTGGAGATCTGCAGGCCAAGGTAGCGGAGCAGCTCTCCTAGGTCAGTGCAGGTGTGTCTTCTCAGTAGCACAGCCTTCACTGAGGCCAGTGCGTCTTTGTCTGCTGTAGCGAAGACCAGGTCGTCTACGTAGACGAGGATCTTGAACGGAGTCTGGCCAGATTGAAAGACGAGCGAAGGGTTAGCAGAGGACAGAAGAACTGCAGGTCTGCTAACATAGCATGCAGCGTGTCGTGCCGCTCATAGGGCGCCTGCCGCAGACTTTAAATCAGGCGCCGAAGGAACCACTCAATCCCAGGAGGGAAAGTGCCAGAAAAGCCTGGGGGGCAGCGCAGGTAGATCTGCTCGTGCAGACTGCCCTGGAGAAACGTTGTGGAGAAGTCGAGGGAATGTTGCTCATAGTCGTGCCATGCTGCTACGTAAAGCAGCGCGCGAAGAGTGGTCATGTTCAGGGTCGGGGCGAAGGTCTGAACGAATTCAACACCCTCGCACTGACTGAAGCCACTAGCAACGTAGCGCGCTTTGAACTCCAACGGCTCTTCAAGGGGGCGCTTCATCTTGAAGAACCACCAACCATCGAATATGTTTGTCCTACATGGGGGAACTGCGTCGACGTAGGTGCCAGTGGATCTCGAATATGCCATCTCTGCATCCACAGCAACTATCCATTGAGAGGCGTAAGGTCCGAATGTCGCCTCAGTGTTGGTGCGAGGTCGGGAAAGTCAAGAGCGTCTGGGTCACCCTTAGGGACTAGCAGCATGGAGCAGAGATTAGGAGCGGCCTCGGATAGGAAAGCTAGCTCGTACTGCCTGTCGTCTAGGACGTCACTGCCAAGGGCAAGTGCAGACCCGGCGGACCGAGGACGGGCAGGGTGAGAGACCATAGAAGTGGCGTAGTCAAGGCGGCGGGCAGAGGCAAAGTCAGCAATGGCAGCAACAAGAGCTTCGAGACTGGAGATTGGAACGGATGGGTCAGTTGTACGAGAGGAGAGGGCACAAGGAATAAGAGGGCGAGTAGCGCGAAGGAAGTCAGAGAAAGAAGGCGAGGAGACTGTGAGGGATGACTGAGGAGGCGACGGGAGAAGAGGAGCGGGGGGAGCACGAGACGTGAGAGAACGGAGAGACATGGGGTGAACACTCGGAGCAGGAGAGACGGGACGAGCACAAGAGGGGCGGTGAGACCACCAGTGAGAGGGGGGTGTAGGGTCGCGAGATAAAGGAGGAGACAAAAGAGGAGAACGAGGGGGAAACGAGAGGGGGACGAGACTGGCGGAAACCAAATAATTCCTTATTTTCTCTCTTCTCATTTGGTTTCCTGTTTCTCCTATTCCATTATCCTTTGGTTTATCCTGTTATTATAATTATATCACCGACCAAGCTCGGGATGTACTGGCACGCTATATCTAGCATAATCTTGCCGAAATCCCTTAAAGCGTATAGCCTCGTACGGCTATACGCAGGGTGGTTCCATTTCTAGAAGGGTCTATTCCCTTAGGATAAGATAGACCTGGTTACCTGATGTACTTTGGAAGTATAAAAGCGCCTTGTATCAATCAATAGTGCTACTTTTCCTCGACACATTCGACCCTGTAACACTTGGTAATCAGAGTTTATCTCACTCAGCTGCGCTCAGCTAAGCAGAAGCAGCGTGAAAACCTTCTTCGAAATACTGCCAGGGGTGACTAATTCGGCGCAGATTCTAGTAAGCACCAGCTCCGCACGTGTTTTGAACAGGATGGCAAACTTTGACAACATCGAGGTTACCCAGCAGCTCTTCGCGAGCATCGCCGCCCTTCAGGAGGAGATGCGAGCCGATCGCAAAGCTTGGCAAAACGAGTTCAGCGAGTAACTCGACTCGCCGGCGCGCAGCACGACACGACAACGGCGACGACGCAGCATTCGCAGCAGTTTCTCGAGGCTCCGAAACCGCGCCCACCTGAGCCATTCGATCCGAGCGATCGAAATTCCGACGCCCACAGATGGATCGCCGACATTGTGATCTACTTTGAAGCCGTCGGATGGAGCTCGCCAGAATGGGACGGTCAATGCGTACGGCTTGTGGCAACACTGATGCAAGGACCGGCACTCGAGTGGATCGGCGGTAACAGTACCTTCATCCATAGCGAAGCCACGTAGCAGCAGTTCCGCACCGACCTGCTGAAACTCTTCGAGCCGATAAATTTGGGTTTCCTTGCCCGAGAACAACCATCGCCATCGACAGTTCGGGAGTGTAGTGCAGTACACGCAACAGATGGAGGAATTTTATAACCGCATTCCTGACCTGACCAAAGGGGAAAAAGTACAGTCGTATCTCGCCGAGCTGAAGACCGAAGTCAAACGACATGTAGAAGCAACAAATTACGTGAGCTACAGTGACGTCGTTTGGCAGCAGAGCGGTTCAACATGGTCAACGCCGGAACACGACGGGCGCAAGTCGGCAGTACGCGACAGGGCGACCGATCGGCTCACACCACATTCGCCGACCCGATGGAAATCGACAGGTTCGACGGGCGGTCACGTCCGAAAAACACCAACTACACGTGTGATTTTTGCAGGGTGCCAGGCCATCGAATCTTTGACTATAACAAAATGAAAGCCGTACGCGCAAACTATCGGGCACGCAACAGTGGCGGAAATTCTTCGGGCAATCAGAAGACAAAAAACGGAATTCGCCAGTGATTGCGGATCTAGCTGGCGAAAAAGAAAAGATCCGAAAGCGGCCGCCGGATTCCGGGAAAATCGACTCCAACGAAGCTGATTCAACGCGAGCAAGAGGAAATGATGGGGAAAAATCTCCACCGTACGACCAGTCTTCGCCAGAGAAAATCGCCGAGAAAAAATCTGACTCCACGAAAAAGGACTCTGCCGAGACGGGGAAACTCCTTGAAGACCCAAGAAATTATAAGGATTCGTTAAGTTATCTTATCAAGATGCTTTAATGAAAACTTATGATTCTCGAGGGGCTAGAGACTTGGAGAGATTCCATGAGGGACTCTAGAAAAAAATAGAAACTTGTGGAGATCATACAGGTACCGGAAAACTTGGGGACAAGTTTAAGGAGTGTGGAAAGAAGCCGGCCTTTCCACGGAGTCAACGTCCTCTTCCGACACTAGCCCACAACGACTAACCGTTACCCAGGGAAGACGTCGGTGGAGCTCAAGCAGCTCAAGAGGAAGCTCGGGGACTACAAGAAGCTGCAAAAACCCCGAACTCCTTCTCCGGATGCATCCAGCTCAGCAAATTCGGCATCAACGACACACACAGTTGTCAAGAAAGCTCAGGGTCCTGAGGGAGAGCCTTTCTCCAAGCAGCCCCGACCAGCTGCCAGCCCAAGAGTAGACAACAAGGAACAGGTGTGTACGGAATATTGGGATGTACCCTATGATCCTATTAACGAAACTATCTTTGGGTACTCCGAGCAACGCCTGCCCCTCGTGCTCGAGGTCATCTGTAAGGGACAACACCTCCAACCACTCATGGACAGCGGAGCATCACACACTGTATGCGACAAGGCAGTAATCGACCGACTTCGGGAAGAGTACAAGCCTTCAGCATTCTCTTGAACGATGGTGGACGGCAGCAAGTTACCAGTACACGGCGAAGCAGTGTTACACCTACAAATCGGACCACATCGCTGGAGTCCTGCACTCCCCATCACCAACATAAAAGGGCTTGACTTGATCTTCGGGCGAGACTTCCTAAAAAGATTCAACCCCGAGATCAACTGGATAAATCTTACCGCAAGCATTTACAACAATGGGAGGAGAGTCCAGCTACCCAACCAGGACGATACAGGAGATATCCCAGTGTAGACACTTGCACGATTCAAGAAGGACGTAAAACGAACCGACACCGGGTTCCTAGCGATAGCAACAGAGGTGGAAAACGATGGGGAGAAAACCTCGGAACCTCCACAAAAAATAAAGGAATTACTGAAGGAGTTCTAAGACATTCTTCCCGATGACCTTCCGAACGAGCTACCGCCATACCGAACCCACCAACACGAGATCGTGGAAGAACCAGGTTCAAAGCCGTCCTTCCGAGCACCATATCGGCTCAGTCCCACAAACCTAGCCATCCTGAAGAAGCAGATCGAGTATCTCCTCGCAAAAGGACTCATCCGACCATCCACTCCACCATACGATGCCCCAGTACTCTTCACACCGAAACCGGACAGAAGCCTGCGCATGTGCATCGATAACCGAGCTCTCAACAAGCAGACCATAAAAACAAATACCCAATCCCACAAATCGATGACCTTCTTGACCAGCTTCGGGGAGCCACGGTATTTTCCAAACTGGATGTGCGGTTCGGATACTGGCATATATGAATGGCGGACAATTCCATCCACAAAACTGCCTTCCGAACTCGATATGGGTCCTACGAGTATCTGGAAATGCCGTTCGGACTCACCAACGCACCGGCAACGTTCCAAGCTGAAATGAACCATATTCTACGCCCACTCTTGGACGAATGCATGGTGGTGTACTTGGACAACATCTTCATCTACTTGCTCAACAGGCAGCAGCACGTCCAACAACTGCGACGTGTCTTCGACATTCACAAACGAGAACGATTCTACGTCAAGTTATCCAAGAGCGAATTCGCCCTCAAGAAAGTCCAATTCCTAGGACACATGGTGAGCGCTCAAGGAGTTCACGTCGATCCCAAGAAGATCGAACCGTACGCACGTGGAAGACACCCAAGAGCGTGAAGGATTTGCAGCAGTTCCTAAGCTTCGCTAACTACTACAACAGGTTCGTACCACGGTACGCAAAAATCGCAACGCCACTCACGAATCTGCTCAAGAAGAACACGCCCTATAAGTGAGAACCAAAGCATCAGGAGGCCATGGAGCAGCTGAAACAACACTCACGTCCGTGCCTGTACTCATCTTGCCAGACCCCGAACGCGACTACGTCATCGAAGCTGACGCCAGTGACCAGGCAGTGGGAGCAATCAATCACCTACCTCAGCAAGAAACTACACGGGGCACAAATAAACTACCCGATACACGACAAGGAGGCCCTTGCTTTTATCATCGCCTTGAAAACGTGGAGATGTTATCTCGAAGGATGACAAACAACCGTCTACACCGACCACTGCAGCCTGAAATATTTGAAGACACAACCAAACCTCTCCAGGCGGCAGGTCCGGTGGATTGACTTCCTCGATACGCACTTCCACTATGACATCGTGTACAAGCCTGGCCACAAAAACAAAGCAGACGCTCTCAGACAGCCTGCATACGTTGCCGCAATCCGGATCGAAGGGATGAACCCACTTCTCAAGGGACTCTTCACACACGGGTACGTCATTGACCCTGATTTTTTTTTGGCAGCAAAACAACACCTGGTATAGTGGGACAGTGACATCGCAAGGGCCAGGAACAACCATGGCAAGTGGTTAGCTTGGATTTCTTCTCCGGGTTACCAACTACCACTAGTGGTCATGACGCAATCCTCGTCGTCATCAACAAATTCTCCAAAGTGGGACACTTCATCCCGACACACACGACAGCACGCACCAAAGCAACAGCACAACTATTCGTTTGCTACATCATCTCACAGCATGGCATTCCAACCACACTCATCTCTGACCGAGACCCCAAGTTCACCCGCAAGTTTTGGAAGGAACTAGTGTCTCTGCTTGGGACCAAACTCGCCATGTCATCCGCCTACCATCCGCAGACAGATGGACAGATCGAGCGCCTCAACCAAATTGTAAAGCAGTTCCTCCGCGCAGCATGCAAAGACAAACCCCCGCCGCCGCCCGTCCTCGTCCACGATGAACCCGAGTATCAGGTCGAGTCCGTGCTAGCACACCGCCGTTGTCGGAATGGCACCCTAGAGCTTCGCAATCGTTGGAAGGGTTATGATCCTTCTGAGGATACTTGGGTTCCTGACTCCAAGATGGGTAACGCTTGTCGTCGCGAATACCTTGTCAACAACAGAAACTTCGGAGTTTGTGCATTAGGAGGGGGCACAGCCCTGGAGGATAGGGACCGGCGCGGTACCGCAAGACTGAGCAATAGTGCGCTGGCGGGTCTCTGTCACAGACAGGGTGGTGACAAACTCAGTAAGGGTAAGGTCAGCGGGGTGAAGACTAAGGAAGGCATCGCGGGCTAGTAATTAAAGGGTAGTGCTGAGGGGAGGAGGCAGTACAGTAAGCTGGGGCTCAGTGCTAGCAGCTCGGTAGCTAGTCTCGAGCGCGCGCAGGTGAGTGGCAAGATCAGCGACAGTGGGGAAGGACGCGAGACCAGGGCAGGAGGAGACGACCAGCAGAGGCGGAGGAGGGAGTGGAATACCGCGCAATGACAGCATGTAGAAACTCCTCCGCAGCCTCTACGGCCTGAAAGCAAGGACTCTCGGACACGGGGAGAGCGTATCTGATAGCAAGCTGCGCAACCGCATCGCGTGACTCCCAGACAGAGCAAGCGAGCTCAGCAGCTATGAAAGCCTTATGCTCAGCGCGCGTGGGGGCGTTAGGGAGGGCAGCAGGTGGGTCGGGGCAGGGGAGCTTATCGTCCACATGGACGGCCAGGGACTGGCCATCCTGACGCTGACCCTTTAGCAGGCGGCGAAGGTCGGCATGCCACGCCTCAAAGCCCGACCCTCCGCGTCCAGGCGGAGCACAACGCCCGCCATCACCACAGCTGCAGCAGCCGCAAGAGGAGGAGGAGGAGGGGGCAGGCAAGTGCTGTGAAGAGCGGGGAGATGCGGTGGAGCGCGGTGGAGAGCGGTGGAGAGCGGTGAAGTGCAGTGGAGTGCTCTAGTGTGCGGTGGGGCACGGTGAAGCCGCGACCGGAGGAAACAGCCGGCCGAGGCACTGGCTCAGAGTGGAACCAGGGCCGGCGGCGTGGGGGGGGCGGCAAGCTTGGGCGGCACGGCGAGTGGGGAAGGATGGCGGGCTGGGGCTGGCTGCAAGCTGGACGCACGGCGAGCGGGGGCCATCCGCGAGCTGGGGCAGCGCGACGAATTGGGGCTGGCGGTAGGCGGTGGCCGCAGCGAGCTGGGAGCCGCGGTAGCTGGGGCCAGCGGCGAGCTAGAGCCAGTGGCAAGCTGGAGCCCGCGGCGAGAAGGGGCCGTGGCGAGCTCGGAGCTTCGGCGAGCTGGGGCCGGGCAGCGAGCTGGGGCCATCGACGAGGTGGGGTGGCGGCGAGCTGGAAGCCGTTACGAGCTGGGGCCACGCGGCTAGCTGGGGCCGGCGGCGAGTGGGGGGCGTGGCGAGCTGAGGGCCACGCGGCTAGCCGGGGCCGTCGCTGCGAGACAGGGCCGAGCAGCGAGCTGAAGCCGTTGCGGCAGGCTAGGGGCGCGGCAAGACTAGGGCAGCACGGCGCGGCGGACTAGGGCAGCGCGGCGCAACAAAGTAGGGCGACGCGGCATGACGTGCTAGGTCGGGGTAGGCTACGGTAGGCTAGGATGGAAGTGCAGGTGGGTGGGACCTATCTAGTCTGATACCATCTCTGAGTAGCAAAGTAATCTAAGCAAGGGCAAACATAGTATTATATGAGTTGTGGGTTGTACTCTCTAAGAGCACGTACCTGTCCAGCCTATAACTATACATGCATTCCAAATGTATGAATCAACATACATGGCCACACAAATTTGTCGAATCTGCGGGCCATGTACAAGAATCAGAAATTTGTCGAATCTGCGGGCCATCACAAATTCGGTTTCAGTGTGTTTTCGGCAACACCCTGTGTGGTCAGGGTAGAACTAAAAGTACTCTTACTACAGCAAGGTAGAGTATCTGTTCAACCAGTTCGTCATGAGTCAAATATCTACTTTTGGCGTTCTCATAACGCATTCGACGATGTGGCCGATGTGAATATGTATTTAAATATTATCATTGGCTAGATAGGTGCATGCTCATAAAGAGTACACCACCATAGCACAAAACCTCTCCGTATGCCTCATTCCGGTCATTGCGTTATTCTAAGATGGTATCACGCTAAGTTAGGTCCCCCTGGTTTACGCTTCTGCCCCTAGCCCTAGCCCTAACTCGTGTCCTCGCCGCGCCCTAGCCTTTAGCCCACACCCGAGTCGCGCCCGCGCCCTAGCCAGTCGCCCCCCTTCAGGAGCACGCCACGTGGCTCCTAGCCCGCCGTCGGCCCCGCCTGCTCTCGTCGCGGCCCCACGATCGCCAGCCCCGCCACTTCGCGCCGCCCCGCCACTTCGCACTGTCTCTTGTGTCTTTCTTGGCTTCCCCCTCGATGCATCGGACTGGCACTTTTACCACCCGCCGTCTCACCTCTCCTTTCGCACTCGTGACGTCACTTTCCGCAAGTTTGTCTCCTTCTACACCCGCTTTCCCCACCGAGGTTTCCCCACCCACCCCTAATCCTGGTCCCCACTCCCCCGATAGCCCCCGCTCCTCTCCCTCCCCGTCCTGCCCCGTCTGGTGTGTCTCACGTTACTCCCCTCCTGTTGGTTGTCCCGGTCGAAGATTCGGCTGACTCTGGGGGCCCTACAGCTCAGAATTCCCCGCCTGTCTCTGCACCCGTGTCTCCTCCTCCACCGCCACAGCAGCAGCCGCCGCCACCACAGCAGCAGCAGCCGCCGCCGCAGAGGTCCGCGAGCTCTGGGGGTGTGGGCATTGGGGAGGGTGCTGGTGCTTGGCGTGCTGGTTCTGGGGGTGCTAGTCCTCGGGGTACTGTCGTGGCTTGTCCCGGCGGTCCTGGGGGTGGCACTGGTGCTGGAGCGGGTTCTTGTCCTGGGGATGCTGGTTCAGGGGGTGCTGGTTCTGGGGGTGCTAGTCCCTGAGAGTAATGTCGTGGCTTGTCTCTGCGGTCCTGGGGGTGGCATCGATGTTGGAGAGGGTTCTCGTTCTGGGGTTGGTGTTGTGGAGCATCCCAGAGGTAGCCGTGGTGCGGCTGGAGGTTCTGGTGTTGGCATGGAGCAATAACAACAGTCGCTGCCAGTGTCTGCCCTTTGCCTGCTCGGCCATCCCTCCCCCGACCACCCGCCTGTGCCTCCCCCGTCGCCGTTTCCCCCGCCTGTTCACTGCCCTATGTTTCCTCCGCCGGACTCGTCCCCAGCCCGTTTTCCCACTCGTTCTCCTCCTGTATCTCCTCCTTTGACTCCTGACCCGACCCCCCCCTCCCGCTGGTGGTCTCACCGTGCCTCTCGTGCTCGTCCTGTCTCTCCTGTTCAGTATTCTCACCCCATGTTCGTTCTCACGCTTCCCATGCTCTGCTCCTCCCGTCGCCTCCTCAATCGTCGCTTGTTGTCTCTTCGCCTCCTCTGTCTGAATTTCTTCGTGCTGCTAGTCCTCTTGTTCCTCGTGTCCTTGCCTCCCTTGTTATCGACCCGTCTGTTCTTGTCTCCAGTCTTGACCCTCTTGTCGCTGTCGTTGCTGACTTTGCCTCTACCCACCGCTTTGACTACGCCACTACTCTAGTCCCTCACCCAGCCCATCCTCTGTCCGTGGGGGGTGCACTTGCCCTTGGCAGTGACGTTGTCGAGGACATGCAGTACAGGCTAGCTTTCCTATCTGAGGCCACTCCCCATGTCTTCTCCATGTTGCTAGTCCCTGAGGGGTGTCCCACACGCTCTTAACATCGCGACCCCTCGCACCTACGCTGAGGCAACCTCGAGACCCTGGGCCTCACAGAGGATAACTGCCATGGACATAGAGATGGCATCTTTCGTCGACGCAGTTCCCCCACCTGGGGTGAACGTGGTCGATGGTGGGTGGCTCGTCAAGGTGAAGCGCCTTCCAGGAGAGCCGCCAGTGTTCAAGGCGCGCTACGTGGCTAGAGACTTCTTTCAGACCTTCGTCCTGACCCCAAAGATGACCACTCTTTAGGCACTACTAAACGTAGCAGCAGAGCATGGCTAAGAGCTGCACTCCCTCGACTTCTCTAGAGCGTTTCTCCAGGGCAGTCGGCACGAGCAGGTCTACCTGCACCGTCCGCCAAGCTTTAAGGGCACCTTCGCCCCAACGACCGAGTGGCTCCTCCGGCGCCCGGTTTACGTCCAGCGGCAGGCACCCCGTAAGTGGCACGACACGCTGAGTGCTACGTTAGCTGACCTGCAGTTCTTCCCGTCCTCTTCAGACCCTTCGCTCTTCATTCTTTCGGGCCAGACCCCGTTCTACATCCTTGTCTACATAGACGACCTGGTCTTCGCTACTACGAAGACTAAGCTGCTGAGGAGACACACCTGCACTGACCTAGAAGAGCTGCGCCGCTACCTTGGCCAGCAGATCTCCAGGGACAGAGCAGCATGCAGTATTACTCTCACACATTCACACTTGGTGCACCAGGTCCTTCAGAGTTTTGGTCTTCAGTTCTCCTCCACACAACCCACACCTCTGCGAGTAGATCACACGCTCTCGACTCCAGTCCCTGAGGAGTCGGTAGAGCCCAGTGGTCCGTACGCAAAGCTGGTGGGTTGCCTCATGTACCTGATGACTTGCACTCGTCCAGATCTCGCATACCCTCTCAGCATCCTGGCTAGCTTTGTGGCGACAGGCAGACACCGACCACAGCACTTGTCGGCCGCCAAGAAGGTTTTGTATTATCTAGCAAGTACATCGAACATGGGGCTAGTGCAAGTAGGACGCAGGCCAATGGTCCCTACCGGGCACACAGACGCTCAGGTCCTCTCAGGGCTACTGCTTTAGCCTTGGTGCAGGCGCCATCTCGTGGAGGTCCACCCCCGCTCGTCGTCTGTTGCCCTGTCTAGCGGTGAGGCTACGATCTACGCAGGTGCCATGGCGGCTCAGGAGCTCCGCTGGCTGACATTCTTGCTCACAGACTTAGGTGAGCGGCCTAGCTCTGCCCTGGTCCTGTACGCTCACAACAGGGTCATGATCCTCCTATGTCAGGAGCCTC